GATACTTCCATATATAGGTACTAATAAATTAACTGACTTGGTTTTACATTGTGTTGCGAGACTTGCAATATTTTACATATTATGTTTTTGATAGGATGCTTTACGCTAGTACTAATTAAATACAAATTAACAAAAATAAACTATAAACTTATATCATTATATATCATTAAACGCATGGTATTGTGTCTAATGTAAAACCAACTATGTGCCTCTAAAGGCGCGAAAAGTGTTACTTTCAGTATATTACAAAATACTCTTATGTGCTTATAAGCACACGTCGTTATTTTACATCAATTTTTGTATAAATAATAAATGCCACTAAAAAAAATGTTCCTGGGTCAAATAAATGAAATAAACTTTATTCAATTTGACTTATTATATATATAGTCAAGTCAAATTAGTCAAAATAGGACAAGAATCTAGGAAGTAGAGATAGTCAGCTATAAACTTGTATAAAACTTTATTTAGGCACCCTAAAACTTGTCTCAAACCTGACTTGATAAGTTCAAGTCCTCTGGATCTGCAGACGTCCATGCTAGCCACTACACCAAAGATGAAATCTCAAAGAAAATACTAGGTGAAATTGAATAACAATATTTATTATATAAATTAATGTATTTACATACTTTATTCTTCTTTATGCTTCATGGAAGATTATAAACTAATAATCCTATTGTTGAACTCTTTTCTGGAAGCCAAATTAGGCATCTAATTGATAAGCTTGAAGTAGAACTAGAACTTATATCAAATTATGAAAAGCCACTGTGTTCAAGTATAACTGGAGCTGAAACAATAACGCTCAATGAGATTCTTATAACAAACTAGCATTGCCCGAGGCTCACGTTCAGATGACCAAAAACCAAATTCTGAGGTTTAACATATTAGTATACTCTTACATACTGCCTCGGTGGTGTAGTGGCTAGCTTGTATGGCTGCACACCCGGAGGTCATGGGTTCGAGTCTCGGGTCGGGCCAAGTTTAGTTATTGAGTATTTCTATATAGTAAGTCTCAGTAACAGCCCGGAGTTGGGAAGTTGGCAGTGTTTCACCCCCGTGCCTCGGAGAGCACGTAAAGCCGTCGGTCCTGCGCCTTAACTGTCACTGGTCGTGTCGAATAGTCGTCCCACCAGAGTATGAGAGTGACAGGATAGAGAGTGCACTTGTGTCTGCGCGTACGCTTGTGCACTATAATATCTCCTGCGCAGTTAGCTAGTCCCAATGAGATTGGCCGCCGTGGCCGGAATCGGTCAGAACATCATCATCATACTCTTACATTGTAGTTTTTGTATTTTTTCTCAGAAATGAGACATTTTCCCGAGGTAAAAAGTATCCTATATGTTGACCCAGATAACCAGCTATCACCATACCAAATTTCATTAAAATCCCTTCAGTGGTTTTTCCGTGATGCGGTAACAGACAGACAGACAGAGAGAAATTCTAAAAACTATAGATTAGGCCTCTGTATCGATAATAATGTCTATTTCAATAATATTTTTCAAAAAATATTTAATGTACAGATTCGGCTTAGTTATAATTTTCTTATATGTATAGATAAAATGGAAATATTTATTTTTTATGAAATCTTATTACACTGAAGCAGACACAAAAGAATCCCGTTATTATTATTATAATTACGAAATATTGGATGGATGTCAGATGTGGAGAAAATTTGGCACAGAGATAGATTATAGTCTGGAATAGCAGATAGGTTACATTTTGGATGGTTGGATGTTTGTTACTTTTTTAGAAAAAAACTACAGCACGGATTTTGATGAAACTATAGAGTAATATAGCTTATACGTTGGAGTAATCATACGTAATTGAATTACGCGAGCGGAGCGGCAGGAAAACTCTTACTGTTATATACTTACCAATTCTTATAGCAGCACAAAGAACACAGAAAGTTATAAGACTGTTGATAGTATTTTCTCTAGCTTGGCGCTTTTCTTCCAAAGGGTCAACCCGTTCTCCAAATGGTAGACGAAACATGTTGAAGTCAGATTTTTATAACCTCTGCACTCACCCTAAATTAAATTTAAGTAAATGGCAATCATGGATGACAAATAAAATGGCAATTGGCACATAAAACTTGACAGATTTTTCTCATAGACCATGTAGACTACAGAGTATAGAGTATGTAACCCTTTTTAATACAGAGTACAGACCAAAGAGAATGTAACCACTTTTATTTGTCATGTTAAGTGGTAACTTTTATTTGTCATCCATGGTGGTAACCATATATTCCAGATCACAAATAAAAGTGGTAAGTGGTAACCATTAATACGTTTCCAGCATAAAGTATATTGCTACATATAAAATGGTTACCAGTTTCCACTGATCAGGAACAATGTAACATAGAGTATGTAACCCTTTTTAGTTTTTACAATGTAAACTGGAGCCCGCAGACTGAGTAGAGATATTGTAGACCGCAGATTAATCATAAACGAATAATAAAAATAATAATATTATATATGTATCTATAATCATTGTTTTACGGATTTAGAAATATGCATACAAAAAAAAATTGTTTATTTTTTGGGTCACGGACGTTCGCTGAACCCTGTGATCTTTAAAAGAAAAAAAATTCAAAATGAATATTAATATGAAAATATAATCACTTTTTTAATAACGTTAAGAAAGTCAGTTGAATACAAGAAATTTCGTTAATATCGCATAATATAAAAAAGACAGGAGACAAATAATTACTATTATAATAAACAGACGGTTTTTATTAATCGTTTAAGACAATTGACACACGAGAAATTTCATCTCCGTATGTTGACTTTATAAACCTTCGACCAATATCATGCTTATTATTGCTCGAAGTTACAAACCTATTGGGCCTAAGTAGCTAAAATATGTATTACAAATATGTTACGCTACTTAACAAAATATATTTATAAAATATATTAAAAAAAGAATAGATAAATAAAACCTTACAGAAGCTTTTTTTTATTTACCTTTTATTCGTGAAATCAGTTTTAGATATTATCTTCACGTAACGGTAGGTATAATTTTATTTATTTGTGTGACTAACGTGATCAATACATATACTTGCAAAACCTATAACAATACAAAACTTAATGTAGATAATACATAAAAATAAAAAAAATAAAAATTTGACAGTTTAACTCTTGCCAGCAGCCAGCTGTGAGCTTATCTATCGCCAGTCAGGTTTACCAACTAAAGATTGATATTTCATTCTGGGATAAATGATATAAAATTTATTCTAGAAAAAAAAACCTATGATTGTTTAGATAAATATTAAATTATCAAAATTATAATGCAGCTACGTTATCTAATTTTTTGATGAAAACTAATAAAATTTTCCTCATATTCTTTTAATTTTAGCCAAAGTTGCGCAACATGGCGAGTTAGTCTCAGCTGCTTTTATAAGAATTGTTTCAGTGAACGATACGCTCTAGTTACCGAGATTTTAAGTTAACAGTTATCTTCTAATTCTTCTTGTAAAATTAGTGAAGGTGATGGGACAGTTAGTGATTTCGTGTGGCTGAATTGCGATCAGCGTTAAAGCGAAAGCAGTGTTATTCCATTTTTGTTCAATAGTGAGCTTAAAAGGAATCCGTCAAGCTGGAGCGACTCCCGGAATACCTGCGTGACACCGTCGACTGGTTCATGGGGTAAGTCTTTGTAGCAAACCATACCTACCCAGTACCGATATATCTATATACTTACTTTATAAGAATCAAATACACATCGACGCCTAACAAAAGATTTGAACATTATAATCATAAATATATCATCTCAGATCATATTTTATCATACTAGCAGCTCAACCTCGGTTCGCTCGGGTTTGCCTCTAGATAAACAAAAACAAAACTATCTCACGGGAACCGTACATTTTTCCGGAATAAAAAGTAGCCTATTTGTTATTCTAATGTATGAACTATATTATTGTAAAGTTTCATTAAAATCCAATCAGTAGTTTTTGTGTACTAAGCTGTACAAGTTACTAGTCTCTTAAATATCCCACGGGAACTCTTTAATTTTCCAGGATGAAAAGTATCTAAAATATTGACCAGTGATATAAGGTACCACCATGTAAAATTTCATTTAAATCGGTCTTACAGTTTCAGAGATTAGCCCATACAAACAGAGAAACAGACAAAGAAACGAAATAATTGAAAAAAATCAATGACTCAGTTTTTATCATTTTTTCCTATGTACAGACATTCGACCTATACAGTTTTATTATATGTATAGATTATATCAATAAACATAGCTCCTTGTTATGTATAAAATGTAAGTTTATATGGCAAGAAAACATTAAAGCTATTTTATGTAAATAAAACACTGCATAATACCCCTCAATATGTATATTATACAAATGCTCAAAATATGTTTGTGTATATTAAGTTTATGAAATTATTACAGATTGTTTGATTGATATTGACTAAAATATTTGCTGTTGCTGTGTACTTTTTTGTTACATGCAAGAAATATTTCAAATTTTAATCTAATTAATATACCATAATATTAAAATCTTATATTAAAGCAATTTTGTTCAATTATCATGCCAGTTGTTATGTCAACTCGTCTAAACTATAATGAAATATGCAATACACTCTTAAATAAATTTAACTCTCAAACAACATGTCGCTTAACAGGTATTTGAAAAGGATCTTTAAGGATTCTATTGTACGCATAATTTATACTCTCAATGGCATGTTTCAAAAGTAAACCCCATAAAGTTAACATACAAATATATAATGATTTATTGTAATATTGATTTAAATTTAATTTGAACAACTCAAGTGAATAGATTATATATTAAATATTACTATATAAATGAACACAATGAATGAATATAGTTATATGAGTATTATCTAAGTAAAGCTTTTATATTTTAAATAATGCAAATGTTATTAAACAAAAGCCAGAATAGATTAAAGTAACTAATTTTAATATTGTGTTTGTTTGAGTTTATAGCATAGTGTTTTATACAATATAGTCGACTGTTTACAATGTTTAAATTTTTATTTGTCATAAAGTAAAAAGGAACATGGTTCCAATATCGGGTAATTGTATTGTCGCGTGGTATAGCTGGCGGCGCGGCGGGCACAGGTGGGCGCGCGGCGCGGCGGTAGCGCGACTCGCGTGATGTCAGCGAGCAGCGGCGGCGCCGGCGCGCGCGGCCGCAGCGACGCCGTCAGTCGCCCGCGGTGCGCATCCGCGAGCGCCGTTTCCGCGACGCGACGCCCGCGCCCGCCGTCGCCCCCGCCCCCGCGGCGCCCATGGCGGAGGAGACGAGCCCGCGCCGCTGGCCCGTGGGCATCCTGCGGCGCAGCGGCGCGCGCGCGGCCCGCCACGTGCTGCACGTCAAGTACCGTAGTGTCCCACCTTCGCCCGTGCCGCTCGCTTCGCCCTCGCCGCCCACCTCTGTGCTGCCTCTCGACCTCGACGACACTGTCTCTTGCTTTTGCAGGTGCGGAAATTGGTAAAGCGCTATACTGATGGTCAGGTGTTATAATATCCATTGAACCCCTTTTAATATTTATGTTGATTTTTATGTTTTTCAAGTTTTTCATAATATTATATTCGTAACCTTATATAAATTTAATATATATATATATGTACAATTGTACATATATACACGTATACCTAAGAGTTCTCAAAAATCCTTTTATGTATAAATAAATCGGATTATGCATTCTCGTGACTTTACTATCAAGTTTTGTACAAAAGTAATGAAACACTAAACGCCTTTGTTGGTGTGTGAGACGCTAGCGTCGCAGGGAACAGTACAGAACCTAACCAGTGTTATCGTGCTATCGCGCGTTATCAGTGTTCCCACCTGGATGACGTCACGTGCCACACCACTCACCACTCACCGTGCTATTCTATTGTTTCGACAAACTATTGTAATGCTTATGTTAATGACAGAAGTTACAAATTACGGCTCGACTTAAGTTTCAAAATTTTCCACTAATTGCACAGCACACAGGTGTAGACCGTGTAGTGCTAGATTACTCGCTTATATACAAAGATTTAAACGAATAGGAAACGATTGGTGAATTTGTATAATTTACAAAACTTATTTCGCAGGGTCTACCTTTTTATTAAGCTGTAATTTTAGTTGCCGAGTTCTCACTGAGGCTGGCCAATTAACTATATAGAAGATAATCAAATGTATTAATCAATTTTACATAGTTTCATGAAACGAAAATGCAATATGAGACACGGAAGTGTAACATCGTCAGCTGTTACGCTTCCATTTTCCGTTTCCGTTTCCGTTTGACAATAAGGACTTTCTCAACTGAAAGAACCACTATCTTGAGCCTTGACCTCACTATTGGCAGCTGGGTAAAAATCTGCGAGGCAGTTAGAAAATATATTATGTTTATTTAAAACCATTTTGTGTCAATACTTGCATGTAATTTAAGTTGTAATCTAAAATGCATGCAGCATACTCAACACGCTTGCCTTGACGTGGTCGAAGATAAAAATACTTTTAGAAGAAGTTTAATTAAAGTATATATCTAATATATTTAAACGAGCAATTCATATATATATATATATATATATATATATATATATATATACTTATATATAAATAAATAATCTGAATCTCGGAAACGGCTCCAACGATTTTCATGAAATTTAGTATACAGGCGGTTCCGGGGATGATAAATCGATCTAGATTAGTCTTGTGAAAACGCGGGTTTTCGAGTTTTCATGCAGTTTTCTTTTGCATTATTCCACGCAATTTTTTTTTAAATAAAACTATCTTTTCGGATTATTTCGCGGAGGACTGAGTCTCAGTCTCTCCCGTGACCATGGATGCTGTAAAGCATTCGAAACGTCGGGAACCAAAAATCAAAATAAATCCACTTTTCATCAGGTGAGCCTCCTGCCCGTTTGCCCCCTTAGTCCCATAAAAAAAAAAAAAATAAATCCGCCAAATAATCCGAAAAGATAATTTTATTTAAAAATGTCAAACATTCGCGTAAATCTAAGAAAGTATTATGGTCGGTAATTTGGACGCTCTAGTGTAAGCATCGTGGTCAATCGGCCAAGGTGCAAGATCAACGATCACAGGCGTCCAAGTTCGAATCTCGGTCGCATACAAAGTGTTTACTTTTGTTTTTTTTTTATATTTATTCAAGTTTTTAGTTTAAAAAAAAAAGAAAATTGTACTTTAGGCCAAAGACTCCGAGCGAAGCTCGGTAGCCTAGGTACTATGTACATATTTTAAAAAGGATATTTGAAGTAGTTGCGGCTTAAGCTCAGTAAGAGTAAAGTAGTGTATGTTTTTCATACTGCTTCTAAGATAGTCTGCTATAGTGTAGTGTCCATGTATAGCGAGCTAAACAATCTTGAGTGCCTGATGTGTGTATGTAAATAATCATATCGCCGTACGTTCTTGCTCGAAACTGCCAAGTGCCAACAGAGGCTTGTTACAAAATGAACCAAAGACAAAGTTGTATTTACCCTAAATGTGACACTCATTTAGGATTAGTTTTGTCTTAACTTGTGTTTAACTCCTCGAAACCCGGGTAGGTAGATCTGTGTATCCTTTCATTATTTATGTAGGCTTTTATGTGATGATAAACTCACATATGATAATATCCAGCACAATATGCTAGACGTCGAAAGTTCTAAATTCCTGTTTGTGCACTGGTCAGTTCCGTGCTGGCTCACGGTTCAAGACATACCAAGACATACGTCGTTTCACTTCACGCAAAAAATTTAGTTTGTGTCTCTGATTGAATGTAGTTTTATTTTGAAAACAGATTAAATATACATGAGACACAAATAAACAAACATTTAGACAATGTCAATAATACAAGTTGACCCTTACACAATTTTGTTTCTATGCAATATAGAATTACGAAATCGCTTAAAAATTAATTTCGCACCATTATACGAAGTCCAATACGAAGAATAAATAGAGACTTGTTACGGTGGCACTGGTCATGGTCGAGCGCGTGTGGAAAGACTTGGCCATATTGATTGCCTCCACTTGACTCCGCCGCACGGCTAATTACGAGACTTCTTACCGTCGCGTCGCACGCGCTCTCTCACGCGCCTGGCACAAAACCATTTGCATCCTATTATAGATGGTGGTGGTATATTATAGAGTATAATATCATATTCTACTTGTTCGACCTATACAGCGCATTGTCTTATGTAACAGCGAGCACTGAGTTTTTAATATTCGTGTTCCTTATAGCAATCGAGTCAATTAGTTGCTATAGTTAGCTAGGCCTTCTACTTTGTTGAGTTTGAAATTTAAAAATAAAAGCCTCATTTAATCACAAGGTGATTCGGCATCGACCTCCACTTAAATAGGAGTAACGAAACCTTTGTTGTAGCTCGTAACTATCGTTTATATATGTATGACGTACCCCATATTATGCAGTATTTATACCTCGGCAGTCGGCGGTTAACTAGTAGGTACCTATACAGTTTGAGACTGCATTCATCACTACCGACATTTTTGCCATAATTGGTATGGGGCTTATGTCAAATCTATATCTCTAGTAACACAACATCACAAATAAAAGATAGGATATTAAAACCGTAGTACGAAGTAAATAAATATTTTATGCAATGATGATGAGATGAGATATTTTCCTGCAGTAAAAAGTATGCTATATGTTGACCCGGATATCCAGCTATCATCATACTAAATTTCATCAAAATCCCTCCAGTGGTTTTTCCGTGATGCGGTAACAAACAGACAGACAGACAAAAACTCTAAAAACTATAGATTGGCCTCTGTATTGATAATGAAGTCTACTTCAATAAGATTTTCAAAAAAATATTCAGAAAAAATGTACAGATTCGGCTTCGTTACGATTTTATTATATGTATAGATTGCAAATGGTGGAAATATAATTTTAATTTAGGTCTTTTAACCAGCCATTATTAAAAGAAAAAATTAACATGAATAAACACAAACGTGCTCAACAAACCGACATCTACATAGAATGTTTAAAAATTCCAGATAATATAAAAGACGCTCGTGTGCGTTGTGACTTGTGACATGTTTTTATTACCAATGACCTTGCTTTGCGCTGGTTTCACATAATACTGTCACCTTCGCTTTACCCGACTCATCAACTTCGCTCGTCGGTGGCATAATGGTTAAGCATATTGATGATGTAACCGCGCTAATCGTCACTAATATATAATCATTTATTTATCACCACGAGCTTTCGAGGTTGCAAATACCACGATCACCATTGTCCATTATCGTTTAAAATCTTATAATTACGAGTAATACCATATTAACTAATCATTTTATTAAAAATATATAAGAAAGCACTGTGTGAAGGGTGCACAAAGGTGATTCTTATAATATTTATGTATATAAAAGAGAATGAATAGGAGGTTAATTAAGTTTTATTGTTTTCTAGTGCTTGGTCGCGGTTTAGTACACACTTGCCAATTTTTATCTTTATTATACAGTACCTACCTGGGCGACCAAACTTCAAACGGTCGTTAAGTTATCATATTATTATCCATTGGTGACAATGCAACCTTAGATTATTTATATGTCAAATAATCTAAGAATGCAAGTATCACAAAAATTTACGAGATAGCTTTTGATATTGTCAGCATGAAAGCAGATAAAAAAACCTATAATATATAATTAATCTTAAAATAATATTTTTTTGTTTTAGTGAAAAATTGCGCGTTTTCTAGAAGATGTTGACCAGGATAACCAGCTATCACCATACCAAATTTCATCAAAATCCCTCCAGTGGTTTTTCTGTGACGCTGTAACAGACAGACAGACAAAAATTCTAAAAAGTATAAATTCGGCCTCTGTATCGATGATAAATAATAATGTTTATTTCAATAAGACTTTCCAATGTACAGATTCGGCTTAATTACAATTTTATAGTCTAGCATTGCCTGCGGCTTCGGGTTCAGGTGTCAAAAAACCAAATTCTTAGGTTTTTCATATTAGTATACTCTTATGTTGTAGTTTTTGTATTTTTTCTTAGAAATGAGATATTTTCCCGCGGTAAAAAGTATCCTATATGTTGACCCGGATAATCGGTATATATCGGTAAATAATAAATATATGAACAAGAATTGCTCATTTGTATTCAGCCCTTTTTAACGTCCCACTGCTGGGCACGGGCCTCTATTCAATACGAGGGGGATCAGGCCATAGTCCACCACGCTGGCCAAGTGCGGGTTGGGTTGCTCATTTAATATAAGATAACTCTTTCAAGTTATCGTCTACTACTGAGTACTGACTATATGCACGTTTTTTATTTATTTTATATGGGACCACCCTTGAGCTATATATATATATATATATATATATATATATATATATATATATATATATGTATGTATATATATATGTATGTATATAAGCAATATAAAAAATAATTACGTAAATCCATTCACAATTGACAAGGTAACGCGCAACAGACACACAAAAAACATTATAAACCGAATTTCGAGTACCTTTTTGAAGTCTGTCAAAAATTTACTCATACTCTAATTATGAAGC